GCCAGCAGACCGCGGCCCTCTGCCGCGCCCGGCAGATCCGCCAGCCTCCTTCTTTCTCTCGCCCCGGACCGATGCCGCAGCGCGACCACCGTGCCCAGTTGGCTCTCCCCGCTTACCTCCCGCTTGTTGCCACCGCCGTTCTCCTGCCCGTCTGCCCCCATCAGCCCCTCCTCTGCCCGCCCACTGGACGCCGCCCTCCGCCGCTCCCTCACTCAACATGAGCACCGCCACCAAGCGCGGCACCTCGGCCCAGGCCACCTCGGCCACCGAGGCCGGCTCGGCCGCCAGGACCGAGGGCCCGAACTCCAGCCGCTACCTCCTGTTCAGTGACAAGAGCGACAAGGTCCCGGTCCTGGCCAAGGAGCCCCTGGATGACTTCATCCTCTCGTACCAGGAGGAGCCGCACATGAGCCGGCGCATGGCCATGCTCAAGAAGTACCCCGAGGTGCGTGCCCCTCACGCCGGTCCTCCCCCCTCCGGCGACCGTGTGCTGTCCCCCCCCCCCCCCCCCTGTTTGTCTCTCTGACCCCGGCCTCGCGCCCGCCTTCCCCCCCCCAACCACCACCACCACAGATCAAGCAGCTCTTCGGGTACACCCACCTGACTGGCATCATCTGCACGGCTCTGGTGATCCTGCAGGTCGGCCTGTCGCTCTTCCTCAGCCAGTCGGCCCACTTCTTCTCCTGGTACTACTTTGTCATCGGTACGTGTCTCGACCAACAGTATGACAGCGAGCAAGGCGAGAGAGCGAGAGTGAGAGACGGAGAGAGAACGAGAGAGAGGGGGGGGGCAAGGGAGAAAAACAGCCATGCATATTGGCCTCCTCCTCCCTGTCTCGCCCTCTCCGCCTCCTTCCTCCCCCCCCCCCCCCCCCCCCCCCCCCGCTGCTTCCCCACCTCTTTGCCTGGCCCCCATAGCCACTGACATGCCCCTCCGCGCGCAGCCTACGTCGTCGGTGCCACCGCCAACCACGCCCTCCTGCTGGGCATCCACGAGCTGGCCCACTCGATGGGCTACCGCGGCATCAAGTACAACCGCCTGATGGCCATGATCGCCAACATTCCCATCCTCATCCCCTACTCCACCGCCTTCAAGGACTACCACCTGAAGCACCACCGCTACCAGGGCGTGCCCGGGGTCGATGTGGACCTGCCCACCCGGCTGGAGACCAAGATCTTCTGGCACTGGTCCACCAAGCTGCTCTTCTGCGTGTTCCAGATCTTCTTCTACGCCATCCGGCCGATGTTCATCCGGCCCTTCGATCGGGACTCCTGGCTCGTGCTCAACTGGGCCATCCAGATGACCTTCAATGTGGGGCTCTACACGCTCTTCGGCTGGCGGCCCTTCTTCTACATGCTCCTGTCCACCTTCCTGGCCGGGTCCCTCCACCCGACGGCCGGGCACTTCATCGCCGAGCATTACTCCTTCGATGGCGAGAATGAGACCTACTCCTACTACGGGCCGCTGAATGCCGTCACCTTCAATGTGGGCTACCACATGGAGCACCACGACTTCCCCAACATCCCCTGGACCAACCTGCCCAAGCTGCGCAAGATCGCCCCGGAGTTCTACAACAACCTGCCCTACCACATGTCCTGGACCAAGGTCCTGATCAACTTCATCTTCGACGACCGTGTCACTGTCTTCAACCGCATCGTCCGCGAGGCGCCGGAGGTGGCCACCACGACCCTCGGCGCGCCGCCCCTTGTCCACTCGAAGTTTGACCCGGCCCTGCGTGTGACCGCTGCCCAGTGATGGCGGCGACCCGCCTCTCTGCCGCCGCCCCCGGCGACTGCCCGATGGATGAGAGAGAGAGAGAGAGAGAGAGGGCTGTGCCTCCCAAGCAGCAGCACCGCTGTGCCAGCAGGGGGTGACCTGAAGAAGTGCGGCGCGTGTCCCCAGGCCTGGCCGGCTTCGGGCGTAAGGGCGGGCCACCCCGGTGGTAGCCCCCTCTGCGCCCCTGGTGCATCTCTCCCTCCCCAGAGGGCGGGGCTGTGGCAAAGCATGCACGCGTATATCCCCCCCCCCCCCCCCCGGGAGGCGAGGAGGTGGGCGAGAAGGGGCTCTGTACCCCTCCCGTTGTCTGGGGAGGGGGGTGAAGGGGCAACTGCCGCCAGGGGCGGCCGCC